GACGCGTATAGACACCCGTACACACGTGTACACACGTGTAGACATGTACACACACATACACGCATACATATACACAGGTATACACGTCTACACGTATATGCACATATATACACCTCTACACACGTATACACACATACACGCATGCATATACACACGTATACGCACCTAAACACATGTATACATACATATATGCACATATATGCACTTATACACACATATATACACATGTACACTCGCATATACACACATACACGCACATGTATGCACCTATACACACATGTATACACACGTATATGCACATGTGTACACACACGTATATGCACATGTGTACACACACACATAGACATATACACACGTATACACATGTATACACATATACGCACATATACACACCTATATGCACATACACGCATGTATACACACGTATACATACATATATGCACATATACACACATGTATACACACATGTATATGCACATATATACACACAGATGTATCTGCACACGTATACACGCATATAGACACACACACACGTGCAAACCCACGCATGCACCACGTGTGCACATACATACACACACACCCCCATCCACACTCCACGTGTGCGCACACTCACACACTCACACACCATACACACACATATACACACACACATACACTCACACACACACTCACACACACACACACTCACATCCACACACACACACTCTCACACACACTCTCATCCACACACACACTCACACACACACATACACACACATACACACTCACACATACACACATACACACACATATACACACACACATACACTCACACACACACTCACATACACACACACTCACATCCACACACACACTCACACACACACATACACTCACACACACACATACACACACACTCACACACACATACACACACACATGCACACACTCACACACACACACACACATGCACACACTCACACACACACACACACACACACACACACACACACACACACACACACACACACACACACACACACACACACACACACACACACACACACACACACACACACACACACACACACACACACACACACACACACACACACACACACACACACACACACACACACACACACACACACACACACACACACACACACACACACACACACACACACACACACACACACACACACACACACACACACACACACACACACACACACACACACACACACACACACACACACACACACACACACACACACACACACACACACACACACACACACACACACACACACACACACACACCCTGCGATCCTGACCCGCTGCCCCCCCGCACCCTCTTCCCCC